ATCAATACTCTGAAATGGAAAGATAGTCCATGTTCATGAATTGGAAGAATCAACACAGTTAAAATGGCCTTATTACCCAAAGCAATATACAGATTCAATGTAATCCCTTCAAAATCCCAATGGCATTTTTTAAAGAAATAGAACAAAAAACCATCAGATTTGTAGGGAATGACAAAAGACTCCGAACAGCCAAAGCAATCCTGAGGAAAAAACAATGCTGGAGGTATCACGCTCCCTGGCTTCAATTTATACCACAAAGTGACACTAATCAAAACAGCATGGGATTGGCCGAAAAACAGACACACGAACCAATGGAATAGAATTAAGAACTTACAAATAAACCCACATATATATGGGCAAATGATTTTTGATGAAGGCGCCAAAAACATACAATGGAGAAAAGAAAGCCTCTTCAGTAAATGGTGCTGAGAAAATTGGAAAGCCATGTGCAAAAGGATGAAACTAGGCTGCTACCTGTCACCATGTACCAAAATGAACTCAAAATGGATCAAAGACCTAAATGTAAGACCTGAAACAGTAAATTACATAGAAGAAAGCATAGTACTAAACTTATGGACCTTGGATTCAAAGAGGATTTTATGAATTTGACCTCAAAAGTAAGGGAAGTAAAAACAAAAATAAATGAAGGGGACTATATCAAACTAAAAAGCTTCTGCACAGAAAAACAAACCATTGACAAAACAAAGAAGCAACCAAACGATTGGGAGAAGATATTCACAAGCAACGCCTCCAATAAGGGGCTAATATCCAAAACATATAAGGAACTTATACAACAATGAAAAAACAAACAGTGCAATTAAAAATGGGCAGAGGACCAGGACAGACACTTCTCTCAAGAAAACATTCAAACGGTCAACTGATATATGAAAAGATGCTCAACTTCACTAGCTATTAGGGAAATGCAAATCAAAATCACAATGAGATACCACCTCACACCATTTAGAATGACTATCATCAACAAGACAAATAATTACAAGTGTTGGAGAGGCTGTGGAGAAAAAGGAACCCTCATACACTGTTGATGGGAATGCAGATTGGTGCAGCTGCTATAGAAAACAGTATTGAGGTTCCTCAAAAAATTAAGAATAGGATATGATGCAGCAATTCCTCTCTTGGGTATCTACCCAAAAAATCTGAAAACATTTATCAGTAAAAAAATATGTATCCCTATGTTCATTGAAGCATTATTCACGGTGGCCAAGACAAGGAAACCAAAGTGTCCTTCGATAGATGACTGGAAAAAGAAGATGTGGTTCATATATACAATGGAATTATTTCTCAGCCATAAGAAAAGATGAAATACTGCCATTTGCAACAACATGGATGGATTTTGAGATTATTATGCTAAGTGAAGTAAGTTAGACAGAAAAAGTCAAGAACCATATGACTTCACTGATATGTGGAATATAAAACTCAAAGCAACAAAGGAACAGGATAAACAAATAAAGAAACAAAAACTCATAGACACAGACAATAGTTGAGTGGTGGTGACCAGAGGGCAAGGGGGGAGGGGGTGGTAGATGAAGGTAAAGGGGGTCAAATATATGGTGATGGAAGGAGAACTGACTCTGGGTGGTGACACAGAATGTGATATATAGATGATGGATTACAGAATTGTATACCTGAAACCTACGTAATTTTACTAACCTATGTCACCTCAATACATTTAATATAAATAAATAAATGAGAACCCCAAATTTTAAGCTCTCATACTATCTTATTCAATAGACAGTAAATAAACAAAATCACTCCTGTTCAAAAAAACACCTTTTCAAAATGTCTACATAAGCCTTCATTTTACAGCCATATAAACTTAGCATTTTCAATAAAGACAACTGAGCCTGCTCCCTGGAGTGTGGGCCGGTCAGCTGGCAGGCCCAGCGAATTCTGAGCGTGTGGACCACAGGGATGGGTGGGCAGGCGGGGTCATCTGGAGCCTCAGGGGCTCCGGTCACTGGACCTGGTCCCACGAGTGTGGGAGGGACAGCAGCTGAGGACGCTAAGAGGTTTGCCCGGGTCTCCTGACATGGTCCTGACATCACACAGACAATCAGTGCAGAAGGCAGGCAGGTGTAGGATGGAAATGTCCAGTCCAGACAAGAAAACAGGTAATTTTTAGGTGGACAATAAGAATGACGTTTTTGTTAAGGGGCTGACATTTTAACTGAGTCCTAGTGGATGTGAGGCCACTCAGAGAAATGGGCGAGCACAGGTTGAGGGAGAGCTGGGATGGCAGGTGGGGACCGCATGACTAGTGCCTCATTTGTGCTGATAGAAAAGCCCATGCGAGTGGCTGGGGACAGCTGTGCCAGGGGCACCGTGGGCCAGGTCACGAGGGGCTGCTGTTCGCCACGTCACAATGGGGGTCTGGCGAAACTGCGGAAGGCCAAGGACGGACCTGGGACGGTCTGTTGGAGAAGATTAGAGACAGAGGAGCGAGACTGAAGTGAGACAGGGAACGGCAGAGAAGGAAGGAGAGAGAAAGACGCGCGTGGCGGAGGCCTGGGCTTTGCACACAGCTGACGTTCTCAGTGCCCGTTACAAGGACATCGAATGTGACCAGCCACAAGAATGCTGTGGGACATGTCATCACGCCTTGACTGTTTTTTTAAATTAGAGAACTATTGGATATTGGGGAAAGAGAAATAGGAAGAGATGATGCCGGAAGATCAAACCTCCAGCCACTTAGAGAAAACGGACATCGGCAGAAACAGGGAGGAAGGGAGGGGTAAGAACAGGACAGGGGGTGACAACGGTGACACTGACGAAGCTGAGCTGTCTGGAGTATTTGTGAGGAGTTTGCACGAGTGGGACACGCATGATGCCAGCATCCCCACCCTCAGCTGTGTCCCCTGTAACTTCATGTACGCGCCATTCAAGTGTTATCACTTTTTGTTTTTACGCTGCACGTCCATCTTTGCAGCCAATTCCCGTTTTGATTTTCTGCTTTTGTAAAATGCCGACTGGGCTGATCACCAGGGGACCAGGAGGCCAACGGCCTCACTTTGCAGGCCGTGCAGGGGCCTGAGCCCGAAGGCTGTGGATGCGACACGGGAGCAGCCACTGAGCAGTGTGCGCCTGTGACTGGTGCAGACTCGGGGTCTGAGGAGCAGGAGGAGAAGTCGGCCCTCCTGTGGCCCCTCAGCTGCCCTGGGCGCCGAGGCCTGAGACACGTGGTGCGGGGACTGGTGCTAGTAACTAAACCGCAGAGAGTGACACGCACAGGTCAGGGTCTCCCAAAGTGGGGGCCCCGCAGCCTCTGTCCCTTCCCCCTCCTCCTCGGGGGCTGGTCGGGACACGAAAGCCAGTGGCGGCACCCAGCGGCCTGCAGTGCAGCCGAGCACACGGGACACACCGCCTGTGCTGCTGCCCCTCGTCTCCTGATAGCTGACGTGCTCTTGACCTGTAACCTCCTGATCTCATCTACTAGAAGACAGGAGGTATCCTGTCTGGTGTTTACAGGAAAGGACGAAGGTGAGCTGCTCGGATACCTGGCCCACGCTCACCTGCGATACCAGCCACGGGCTCCCACCCCTGCTCCCGCCATGGCACGCCCACCAGGGCTCAACACAGGACAGGAGGCCAGTGTCCCCTGAAGAAAGGCCGCTGCCTCTCATTTTCCTCCTGAAGTTGGGCCAAGGAGAAATTAAAGTGTTCCTAGATCTCCAAGCCAGACCTCACCTTCGTCTCTCTACGGCCCAGTGCAGCCAGAAAACAAATTCAGGACGCCCTGGGGAGCTGAGCACCAGCAGCCCACGTGTCACTAGAAGTCTGCGAGGGGCAGTTTTGAGCATCTTGATAATTTTTACATGCCTCTCATATTTTTAATACTGCATGGGCTCTAAAAGAATTCCCCTCAACCACACCTGCAAATGCAATTTCCTGATAACAAGTAGAACAGAAATACTTTCAAAGTGAGTTTTCCAGACAACCGCACTTGCAGAAAAGCAATTAAAACTAAGGAACAACACACACGTGCGATTATGTAAAACACGCCCTGATGCTGCTGGCTGAAGGTGTTTGCATGCGGTCACCTTTGTTACATAAATGGCAGCTGGGCTCAGCAGTGGGCTGCACTGCGTCTCGGAGAGAAATGTTTACGTGAGACTCTTAGGGTGGCTACATTTATTGCATTAGACGTTTGATTAAGTTCTGCTCAGGTAACTGCTTTCTAGTCTATATGTGAAAATCACAAACCTCTCCCAGACCCACGTGCTCTCCAACAATAACGGCTTGGGGCCTTCTGCTGCCCCGAAGGAAAAGTCACAGTGGGACGCAAGGAGAAACTGCTCTGGACCCAGTGAAACTCGTCGCCCGTTACCGTGACCGTAAGTGCTGAAAGTAGCCCCTTCGCAGTTTCCGAGGTCCTGCGCGTGTTCATTTTTCCCGAGTAAAAAACATTTACATTAAAAAAGCATAGTATGAATGGATGATAATGAATTCCGTCTATGTTAAGGGTTTTAAACACTCAAATTAATCCCTGGGCTCACGATCACGTGACTGACATTCTGCATTTTCAAGTAAACAGTGTAGATACCGCATTAGTTCTGTTTCCAGTGAAATCACCGAGGCTCCGGCAACTAGCCGACTCAGCAAAGCTAACAGCAGACTTCATTTTTCTGAGGATTAGTACCATGTTAAGCCTAAAATTACATATTTTGTATTTTTAAGTATGTTATTTTCCCCCCCAAATAGTATGTTTTCTTACTGAGGAGAAATCCCCAGCAACGTTTGGGGGTGAAGATGAATAACAATTGAGTAAATTAATTATCACACTGATGCTTCCTTCTTAACTTCCTTACCAGAAAAGACTTCAGGTCTTAAATTAAAAAGACCTGTTTACCAAAGGGAAACCCTCACATCTGAAAGCTCAGCAAGTTCAATATGAGCACCGATCAGAAGAGACAGACCCGAAGGCTGCGACAAGAACAGCAGACACGCCCCGTCTGCAGAGCTCTGAACCCGAAAAAAACCAGTACCTGATGGTCTTTCCTGGGTCGGCCTCGATGACCCAGGTGCAGTGCAGGTTGTTGTCATAGGGAGCTGGGTAGCCAGGGGACAAGAGGCGCCCTGAGGTGGCCGCGTGGATCTGACCCCCGCACTCCGCTGTAAGAGACACAGAAACATGGGGTCACTGGAGGTGTCACAGGCTGTCATCTGGCTACACTTAAACACGGACCCTGTCACTCCTGCGTTCTATGCACGGGAGAAATGCCACACTCACCCCTTGGTCTCGACTCTTTTCTCTCCTTTATATTCCCAAGTATTACCTGACGGCAAGACAGTGCCCTCGATGTAATGAGGGTTCAGAGTACACAGCAGGGAAACACTTGTGTTGTAATTCTGATAACTCTCTGTGAAGGGTCTCAACACATCGGCACTGGGAAATCCGCCCTCACGCCTGAGACGACCCACACGGAGGCGGGCAGGCCAGCCGACCCGCGCTGGGAGGGCAGGGACGGAGCCCTCAGGGGCCCACGCGGCCAGGCGGTGACCCCGGGGACACGGCCCCCACTCTCCCAGGCGGCCAGGCGGTGACCCCGGGGATGCGGCCCCCACTCTCCCAGGCGGCCAGGCGGTGACCCCAAGGACGCGGCCCCCACTCACCCACGCAGGATGGCACGGGCTTGTCCCAGACTCTGCGGTCCCCACTGAGGCAGGTCAGGGTGCTGCTGCCGTGCATGCTGTAGCCTGGGTTGCAGCTGTACAGGACGGTCGTGTCGGTGAAGTGGCCCCCATCGCGGACCCTGTAGCCATAGCTGGGGATTCCCGGGTCCTCGCATTTTACGAGGTCGAAACCTGTGAGAAAGAGGGACAGGGGGAGTACAGGTGTAAGCAGAATGGGTTCCGGGGAGAAAATAATAGCCCAAGTGTCTGGGCTGTCGTGTGCCCCCTGCAGCGGGGAAGTCAGAAGACCACTGTGGGTGTAAAAACGGGAAGCAACGCGGGTCTCCATCGTCAGGGTTTGTTAACCATTTGGTGTGTCCTGAGGTTTGGTCACTCCACCTGCTCCTCTCTATACTTACCTACTTATCAGGACCATTTTTTCCAGATGGCCAGGGTGCCATCTGCTCCCCTGTGCCTCCAGCCGGCATGCTGGGCTCTCCAGAAAGCCTCAGAGCCTTCTCTGAGTGGGGCTGCCAGCCTTGGTGGCCTCTGGTTTGCCTCTGTTATGTCTGGAACCTTCCACAAGGGGGTCACCCATCACTGTCACCAGAGTGCCTTCCAGGGTTATCACTGCCAGCGTTCACTGCAGGCCACGGTCAAGAGCCACCTGCCTTCATGCCAACTTCCCCCAAAACGCCAAGATCTTAAGCTTTGTGGGGAATCAGAAAGTCATCGCAGCTCGCAGGGGACAGGCTGGGGCCTCAGAGCTGTCATGGCCCACGGTCCACGGCCAGGAGCAGGCGGGGGCTCCACATGGCACCACCGCCAGAACGTGGCATCACAGCGACTTCATCAAACCCAGCGTTTAAACACAAAGAAATAATGACGGAAATGAAGTCTCTGGTCTGCAGTGCCGCGAGCCGTCTGCTGCTTCCATGGCCCAGGGCCGTCTGCAGAGACAGTCCCGCGGTGACATGTTCCACCCTTCATCACGATGCGAACTGTGACCACTTTACCAGCAGAGATGGAACTGAGGCACCGCAGGGGCTGTCTGCATTTATTTCCACCTAACTTAGCTTCTTCCTTTTCTCAATATAAAATTAAATTAAAACAAGGATGTGTGATTTTTGCTAAGTCTGTCTGTCAAACGTGCATTTTGAGATGCCTTTCATCGAGGGAAATATATCCTTAAATTCTGAATAGCATTTTACCCTGATGACTCCCACCTCATCAAGACTGAGCTTTACAACGTCGCACAGGACAGAGAAAATTTTTTTCTATAAAGCGCCTGTGTTTACCGAATGTGCCTTTACACAACTGATCTATTTAAGAAACGCAAAGCATTTTAATTCAGGCAGAGCAGACGAGTACTCATGTGACAATTCTAGGGCAAACCAAAAGCATAGTTACAGTCCCCATGGAGGGGAGTTAAGGGGAAGGGTCCCGGCCACAGAGGGTCTCGGGCTCATGCAGATACTGGCCCCTCTAGTCTGCCCGCACCGGGGAGAGGAAGACACAGACCTGCTGAATTCATGGTGACCAGCAGCCGTTGAACGTGTCACGAAAGGCCTTACCGACCACCGAGCCCGAGCTCGTCCTTTTACAGAAGTTGAAGAAGAGCCAAATCCTTGTAGTTATGGCTTTACTTCCTCGGGCATCTGGAAGTGACGGATGTGAGCAGTGGGGCGGCAGCAGCGCTGCCCAGGGTGACAGCAAGTGGGACGACCAGACCTGCCTGGCAGAGACCTGCCAGGAGGCCGAGGGCTCCACTGGGCACCCTCAGACTGGGGTCTGCTCAGAATAACAAGCAGTGTTTCCAAGTGTGTCACTATTTCAATCAAATTAGGTGTCTGAGTATCCAATGCCAGTGGGGCCTAAAATTGGAAACATACAGTAGACACACAAAATCAAGGCAGACAAACTATAAACAGGAGTCAAGCATGTATCCATATCATCCACACCACTGACCACGGTCCTGGGTCACCTGTCAGAGCTCTGTGAGAGGTGACACCTCAAATGCTAATGAGGCCACACGTGCCCCTCAGTGACGAGCCGGCCGCTGCGTGACGGAGCTCCAGGGACACACTGGCTGGCACCGTGGGGCAATCGCAGCCGCCGTCCTGCTGAAACTCACACCCTGCATGACCCAAGCTTCTGATTTTTCAAGAAGCATCAGAAATCCGGATGTTTCGAGTTCACAAAAATGCTTGTTGAATGAATAAAGATTCTGAAAGGGGAGATGTTGATGACCCGACGTTAGATCATTAGTTATGTATAAATCACACGGAAAGAACTACGCGTAGGTGATGGACCAGCTTATGATGAAGCCGTTACTGAGGCTCAGAATGGGGAAAGATTGGCACATTTCATCCAATGCTTTAAAGGCAGCCGTGAAAAGCACACACCGGCTGGGGCTGATGGGCCAGGACACAGCTCGTCACGCTGACTGGTCCCAGACCTTGCATCTGACGACAAACTCTTGCCCGGGTCTACAGAAGGGTTTTGTTATAAAAGCTTTCCCTCGATGGACACTAACGCCTGTGCCAATAAATCATGGCTGATTTTCCTGCGTGACTTCTGCACAGTCTCATTACCCTCAGTCCCGAGCCCCAAAAACGGCTGGCAGACATGAACGCCTTTATGTTTTTCTGCAGATCCCTCTGTGGCTTTAAAGATGTCAGTCAAATTCAGTTACCAAGGTTCTGACAAACCCAAGTTTACTTCTATTAAAGTTACCCAAAGAAACGTTTTCCTCCGCCCCCAAACTTGCATTGAAACCTTTTTGAAGCAAGGTAGGCAGGAGCAAACACAGATGTACCCATAAAAATGTCTACTGAACTTCATTTGAGTTGAATTTGTTAGAGAAAAATCTGCTTTATTGTTTTTTCTATTACTTAATCCTGAAAGTTGTTTTTTTATACCACATCTTGCCCTGCAGAGAAGTTAAGACGAGTTATTTACAACAAGTAGCTACCCTTTCCACCACGGTGCTCCGCTGTTTCTCACGATGACTTCTATTATTTTTTCAAAAGGTCACTTAAGTCCTTGATGGCATCATGAAATGTACTATTTTGTAAACCGTCCCGCACTTCACTCCCAAGTGCCTGAAACCTCTAGGCCACCAATGTCATTACATGAAATACATTCTTCTTCCTTGTTGGAAAGTTGAAAAGTATTTGGCTTTTGCAGAATTTTGTTTTCCAATTTTCAGTCCACTGAAGAAAGCTTTGTTTGTACAAAGCTTCTCCCATGATTTAATAATCCGTACACCGTTTATTGTGGTGGAATTACAGACATTTCTTCCTGGAGGAAGCACTGGAAATAGCAAAGGTCACTGTCATGAGAGGACGAGAGAAAGCTGTCCAGCAGCTCTCCCTTTGTCCCCGTTGGCTCTGGGGCTCGCAGCCCGTCCACACGCGCAGGAGAAGCCCAGCTCCGTGGTGTCTCTCACCACAGACCGGGGGAGACGCATTTCAGCCGGGCGCTGGTTGCTATGTCGTTAAGGAGTAATATGAGCACTGTCTCCCCCAAATCTCAGCACTGCTTTTAAACGTGGGTAAAATAAGTTGCACTGCTGTCTAATAGCAGAGTTTTGACATGGCAATATGGAATTCTGTGATGCTGATTCAATATCCATTTCAGGAAAGGGTTCTCCAGTGATTCACTAACAATATTTTCTTGAGATTTACATTTAGATCTACAAAGGTATTCCTCTAAAGAAGAGGTATTTCCATTTTAATATGAAGCTAAAAGACTTCAGAGTGATCAGTCTTAAGATTGCTAAAGGGTAATGACTTTAAAAATATAGAGAAAATATCTTGTTTTGTCCCGAAGCCACTAGCCTGCAGGAAATCAGCGTACAAATACTGATTCTGTATTTTCTTCATGCCCTAGGACCTTTAAAAAGATTAAGTCGAGTTATTTTGGGTCAAAACATTATTAAGAGTTGCAATGGTTGCTTGGCTGTGTTTAGTAATTCTATTTCTTTCTGTTCTCCAGTGATTTCTTACGTCCTGTCAGCAGCACAGATGCTTTGAACAGTATGTTCTAGTCAAAACAAGCTGTGAACACCGGGCAGATGAAAGCCACTGCTCCCTATTGTCAGCAGTGAGTGCCCATTGTGATAGTTTTAAGAATTAAATCCTGGACCTCTTCAAAGTTGAACAAAATATTAGTGTTATAAGAGACTTCCACTCACTCGCCCACATTTGGACGTGTTCTTATCTTCCAAATAATGCACTTGTGTGTAAAGAGAAGCTGCTCGGGACTGAACCCGTTCTGCACACCCAGCCCCCGTGGGGGACAGTCACGGGTGTCCTCCTCCATCTGCGTGAATCACCACTTTCTTGCTCAGGCGAGCTTTGAGGACTTAATGGCAAAAGGCTGCTTGTCATTTATGAATCTCTGATCTCTTCTATGAACAGAATAAACTCAAATGTTTATACAAACCTATTATCTCATAGCTTTACCTAAGACTTATTTCAATTTGGACAATGTACTTTTTTGGTAAACATCTCTTTAGGATATAAGAAAGGTGGTTGTGTGCATAATAAAATATAAAATAACAGGCAGTGCTTTCACATTTGCATTCAGCCAACAGGAGAACTACATGACCACTTACATATTCTTTGTTAACTGCCTTCATCTGCCATCATTTGGAGAGAAACGCAGTATAAGAGGAGATGGCTGCTTAAACTTATTGTGATTCACACGAGAATAAAGTTCTTTAACAGTGAATCCCCTGACATGTTTGACTGATTCATGTTTTTGAACACAACTCTCATTATTCAAGTATGAAATTCTAGGCAAAGTGTGGGTGCATGTTTGATTTTTAATTATCTATTAAATTATATATTTCCATTGCTTTCTACCTATAGCTATTACTAGTTTCAAATTAATTTTTTGCAGCTACCTTTCTTCATTTAATCCACATATTTTTCTCATATGTTGCTTTATTATTGCTGCTACTATTTTACAATTATGTGAGCAGCCCCTATGGAAATACGAGGTCTCGCAATTAAGTTCAAGAACTCATCCTAGAAAAAGTGCTCCATACCTCATTGCTGAATATCACTACGGTCACCTTCAAAGTGCTCCCCTTGGGAAGCTATGCACCAACGCCAGCACCTAGTCTACCCTTCAAAGCAATTTTGGAACTCTTTTTCTGGAATGGCCATCAGAGCTGTTGTAAT